AGAATTGAGAGAAAAAAAAACTTCTGTACAGCTGTTCCCCGAGTAGGAGAAGCGAGCTTTTTTTTTTTTTTTTTTTTTTTACTTTTTTCTTTTGCAATCTGCAAAAACTCAGCTCACATCTGCACGCACCAGCCGTGGGCTGAGGGTCGTCATTTTTGGTCAAGGGGCCGAGACGGGGGTCAAAAGTCGCGCCCAAGTTTTGGGCCCTCGACTTGGGGCCTTGACCAAGTTTCGGCCCCGAAACGAGGGTCAAAAGTCACGCCCAAGTCTTGGAAATGCCTGAACGAAAGTCTCGTGTCGTGGGGGCGGTACCCAAGACGAGGACAAAACTGGCCTTCAGAGGCCCAACGTCAGGTAGTCGACCCAGGAAAAGTCAACAGTCAACCCCAGCTCGGGAATTCAATCGCAGGAGTCAAAGTCCACGGTTGCCAGCCTCGGCCATAGATCAGATACACACCTTTGGTTGTCGGCAGGAATCCGGAAGAATCGGGTCCAAGCGGGACACGTGGGAAATCTGGAACTGTAGGCAATCCAGGCCATCGGCTGACAACAACGGATCTGAACGGTCGTACCCGGAGGACCAAAGGCTGGTCAACCTCAGTCAACTGAGTCAACTCCATAAGTTGACTCAGCCGCGGCCAGGGAGCATTCAGACTTCTGTGTGTGCTGCTGGACGCTGGCTTGACGCGGGTGCGACAATGCGAGACTGCTGAAGCTTAATGCTGGCGCCATTCTCTGTGTGCGGCGCCAGCCGTATGAGAGATTATGCTGACGTGGCTGTGGCCACACTGATTCCGACATTGATGGAGTATGGGCGAGGAGGCGGAGGAGGATCAGGACTGTGAGATTGGTCTGATTGATGAGGGGAAGCTTACCTGTGCGAACCTGTGTCGACGTGTGTACGTGTACTTTGTTGATTGTCTCCAAGAGGAAGATCTGTGCCATCCTCCCTGGCCGCTGCTGACGCGGCTGGAGGATGGGCGCCCTGCTGTAACCTGCTTATTGTCAGAGACCGTCAGGGAGGAACCGATTCCTGATGTGGCGAGTTGGGAGATAACGCCCGAAGAGGAAGTGGGCCAGCGAGGGTTCTCTACACTACGATGATGGTGGAAACTCTCTCTCTCTCTCTCTCTCTCTCTCTCTCTCTCTCTCTCTCTCTCTCTCTCTC